GGATCATTCACAGGTGTAGCCCAACACGTGTCCATCACCAGGGCGAACTGGCGGCTGTCGACCCCCCAACACGAACTTCCACATGCATCTCCTGGTCGAGCTCTGCATCCACTCGACCAGTGAAGGGCCGGGTAAACTCATCATCCTCATATGGGATCATCCAGACCTGATATCTGCCTTCACCAGCGGGAAGAGGCTTGTTCACCATGCTGTCGAAATAATGGATAGATCTGTGTTAAAACTCCTTTTTTTGTCATGGGTAAAATTCTAAAAAAATTCCCAGAATCTGTATTTGACTCTCACCTCCCCAGTGGATTGATTTCCACATTCATGGAAAGTGTTTGTGATTGAGGATAAGCACAGCTGAAATTAAGATGCAGGATTTTCTGTCTGCTGATGATTAAACCTTCTGATCTCGGTGTCCCCACAATAAAGTTGTTATAGATGAAGTGGGTGCCGTTAGCCTGTAGACAACAAATATAACATTTGTATTTTAGCCTAAACTGAATTAAGTAAGGGTTAATGCCCGACGAGGTGTCCATTGTCAGGTTTTAATGGACGACGGCGAGGCGTAAACCGGCCGACGCGCAGCGGAGGACGGTTGCCTCCGCCGAAGTCCATTAAAACCTGACAATGGACACCTCGGAGGGCATTAACCCGCTTATACCGGTCACTTGCCAAATAAAACATTTTTAAAACATTAGTTTATATTTTAATTAGGCTAAATCTAGTTTTTACAAATAATAACTTGCCTTGCCTGACTGTTTATTTAGCAACCGGAGATATTTATAGTCCGCTTAGCTCGTATCCCTTCAGGTTCACAAATGCATTTTTTTTTTTTTTTCATGAAACACAAAGGTAGGCATAGTTTTTTTTTTTTTTTTTTTTTTTTTTTTTATTACACATAAAACAATTAATCAAACAACAATAAAAAAACAATTAGCTCTGAGCTCCAGCGATTTGCGCTTAACGTTATAGAGGGCAATAAATTAATCAGATCAAAGAGAGGGTCATTTGCCTCAGGCTCCTTAGGCTTGAAACGCTGTAACGTTCAGCCTTCTCCTGCCTTGGTTGTCTGGACAGCTGCGTAAAACTCCCGCAGGGTCTCATTCAGGGGTGCGTTTCCCGAAAGCATCGTTATCCAACTATGGTCGCAAGTTACGTCGTTACATAGAGTTCAATGGAGCAGAGCAGCAGCGGTGTAATTTTCTCCGTTTTATTTACATTTTTTCTTTCTTCAGCAGCATACCAGTCGTCAAAGTTGCCATATTCTCCATAAATGTTAAAAGAAATAGCACGAAGTCGCTCATTGTTGTATTAGGCTATAATATCTAACGTTAGATGATAGAGCTAGCATGTGACTGCCTGTTGCTATGGTTACTCACAGCCGTTGTAGGCAGCGCATTTATTTATTAATTTCGAATGGTAAACAGGCAGTTTCACCAGAACTACGTTACTAGGTGTCCTCTATCACTTTTTAACGGACACCCTGCAGCCAATCAGAATCGAGTATTCACCCAGACCATGGTATAAAGGTATTTTAAAAAGGCAGCAGCTTATTGTACTACAGCAGGTTCTCGAAGGTCCAGGAAGGGAGACATGGTTTTGAGTGTGGTCATATGCACGTGTTGTATCAATGTCTGATCAACGTGACAACACCACATGCAGTTTCAATTATGGGCCAATTAAAGATCTGTTAAACACTTTTGCTATCTGTTGAACACTTGTGAACACTTGTACTATGTTCTACCTGTCGGGTGGAGTTAGTGTAAATAGTCTGTGCCTAGTTATGCACTTTGTATAAATGCACTTTGTATAACTCAACAAGTCTATAGGGAGGTTTGTTTGGGCCCTTTATTTTGTCGTTACAGATTCAGTGTCCTTACAGACCGCTCTAGACACTTCTCAAAGTCTCAGAGAGATTCCCCAAGGGGTCAGATCAAACTCTGTGGGTGCTATCAGACACTACAAATATTTAGATGGTGTATTGAATAGATTATACACAGTTAAACCCACCACAAGATTTGTTCCACACTTGTGTTCATCATTATCAAAATGGAATTCCACTCGGCCGTTCCGGACCGTTCCTTTGCAGTCGGGATCATTGAGGTGTAAGACATCAGCTGGAAAACCAGCCTCAAAGAGCTGACAGCGAGACACAGATTATGGAGCCAGAGCTGCTTTCACAGGTTTCTGAGAAATCTGAGGGGATTAAAACACAAAATATTGTCATTGAGGAAATGTCGAAACTTATGACGGAAAAAAAAAATTGTTAAATGATACCAACCAAAAGAGTCAGGTTGTGGTCTGTGATGGTCTTCGTTACATAAACAGCCATAAACACCATTTTTCTTCCCACACCATTCATCCTCAGAGCAGCTGAGTTCAGAACAGCGATCTCTCACATCTAAGAGGAAAAGATCGATCAAATACAGCACAAAGACACTGAGTCATGTTAACAGGGACAGAGGTTCACATTCGGGTCCCCTGAATTGATCAGTCTGCAGTCCTCGAGGTAAGAAAATAAATATTTTTGAGTGAATTAAATGGGTCATGTAATTTTTTATACTATCCATAAATAGTTCACTTTTCATTCACCTGACCATATGAAATAAATTGGGGGTGGTGATATGTTTGGGATTTCCAAATAAAAGCCCTCCAAGTTCTTCACATGTGAAATGTGTAGCAACGATTACTTTTTCACATGATTTTTCAGTCAAGTTTAATATCAGTACGTCTGGCTCAATGTGACATGCCGTGTTTGGTAACACCGGTGACAAAATCACAAAATAATCTGTGCTGAAATGTGCTTTTGACTCACCGCACCGCAGACCCGAGCGCCATTCCGGGATCTGTATCTGCAAGATGGCACAAGCTGTCTCATAGGCCTCAACAGCTGAACATAGCATGCCATTTGCACGTGTGTAGAGACACAGATCATACACACAGGAGTAGAAGTAAGGTGCCGGGTCAACATGAAGATGGCAGTTCTGGAAGGGGCCAGAGGTGTTGGTGATAATACTACAGAGATCAGAATACCTCTGCCTGGATGGACACTCATCAACATTACCAGTCTGGTCTCGGGCACCGCAGCTGAAGAATACAAGGACACTTCAGCTCAATTATATGTTTAGAATTCAACAGAGATAGTTTTAATTTGGACACTGAGCACTCAACACAAGAAAATTAAACATCTGAATGAAATCAACATTTGGAAGCCAATCTCTCTCTATTTTTGGTTTCTTCCAATCGGGGTTGGCAGAGCAGTCTTTGAATTTTGGTAAAACCCTTCCTGACACAAGAAGAGCATGCAAACCATATACAGTACATAAAGGCCTCTTGGCTCCGCCAGGGAATGATCTGGTCAATGATAAATCAATGGCAA